ATGATTTGAAGAAATGAGATGAATTTATATATTTCTATAGGTTTTCCTGCCAAAGTGATACGGAAAAAAAAACTCGTTTGGATTTCGAACTTCCGTCCCAGATTTCTCTTTGCGAACCGTTAACCGTTAGGCTACGAGAAAAATGGAGCGATCAAAGTAATCAGTGAATTTGCAAAGAAATAGTTTGTCTAGCCACGTGAACAGTACGGGTTATATTTTATTTAATTATCAACGTTCATTATACAAGATCAGTTCAAGGCAGGTTTTTATGTACGTATTTTATATATATATATATATATATATATATATATATATATATATATATAAGGACAGTTTTATGTTTATACATTCTTTTTATAGATACAAATATTTAAGTAAATGTTCTTTTTTATAATAAAACAACATCTACCGGCCTGAATGTCCGAGAAATTTTCATAGAAAATATTCGTCCTCCGACAGGAATCGAACCTGTATCCTATGCGGAACCGTCATATAGCCTAACGTGCCTTAACCGATTGGACCACAGAGAAACGTTCGGTTAACAAGGTAGATTTTTCTGTTTTTAAAATTCAATCTTCCATGATTCTCTCGGGTACATTCATATCTGCTCAATGTGTATCTAAATTTAAACAAATGCCGTCTCACATTATAAAATGGACGAAGTCCGACAACTATTTTAAAACATTTTTATGTTTATACATTCTTTTTATAGATGCAAATATTTAAGTAAATGCTCGGTTTATAATAAACAGTATTAAACAACAATTACCGGCATAACTGTCCGGGAAATTTTCATAGAAAATATTCGCCCTCCGACAGGAATCGAACCCGTATCCTATACTATTTATTATAAATAGAGTCTTTACTTAAATATTTTATCTATAAAAAGAATTTATACACATAAAAATGTCGGACTTTGTCCATTTGATAATGGGTGATATATATATATATATATGAATTTAAAGCCAGATGGAGGCAGCATAAGTGCTCTTTCAACAATATGAATAAAAGAAATCAGACTTCTCTATCTAAATATTTTTGGAATTTGAAGGAAATAAATAGGACACCTAAAGTAAAATGGAAAATTATAAACAGGACTAGAACTTGTAAACCTTGGGATGACCCTTGCCATTTATGCCTCCATGAGAAACTGCACATTATTAAATTTCTAAATAATAAAAATCTATTAAACAATAGACATGAGTTAACGGTTTTTGCCGACATCATCAAATTTTTGCATTGAATAATTAGCTTAAAAAGAAGCATACAATAATATAATTTTTATAATCCATAGCCCTAATATATAGTGTGAATACCCTACAAAAATAGATAACCCTTTATAAAGTCGTCGAAAAACATATTTTACGGCAGTTTTTTATATACACAAAACCCTTTTATAAAGAAATAAAATAAAAAAATAAATAAATCTGCATAGACACGTAAACCAGACTGGGCGAAAACATCTTCCGTTTTAAATATAGACACCCCTAACTTACCCTGACTTGACATCTATTAATGTAACTCTACTGATACATATTATTAACACCCAACACACCTCCCTATTTAAACAATCGCCCTGGCTGTTACCATGGAAATTTTGATTTCAATTATGAATATGCTATTAAAACACGTAAATTTCAGAAATAAGTTATTCCAAAAAAATTTTCGCTTGAAGATGGAACAGAGCTTACTTTAATTCAATTTAATTCAAATAATTATATTGAAGTTTTCGGCTCTTGTTTTGAAACATGAGACCTCTTATGTAGCGTGTTGGGATCATATTTTTAAATAAATAATAATAATATATATATATATATATATATATATATATATATATATATATAATTTTTATTTAAAAATATGATTCCATCTTTCCTATTTTCTATATATTTTTACACACACACACACACACACACATATATATATATATATATATATATATATATATATATATATATATATATATATATATATAATAAAAAAGTTTCAAGTGGAAAACAATACTTAGTCGAAACTTTTCGTAATGATTTTATTAAGCCAATGTGATAAACTCGCACAGATAAACTCGGCTAAATATAATTTTACATCGTGTCCCTTCTATTTATTCTGTCTCTTCAACATATTTTTTTTATTTTTTATTTTTTAAGCATTGTGCCCAAAGCAAGGCGTGAAGCCACTAGGATGCAGGGGGTTTGGAGCGAGAGCAGATAAGAGTGATAGGAGAAAGGAAGAGGAGAAGGATAGTGGGTAGATCAAGGTAATTGGAGATGTCGATTGACATTACATTTGAATAGTTGGAGATTATAGCTTTCAGGAAAACAGTAATTGGGTAGGGTGTTCCACTGGCGAGAGGTGCTAGGTATGAAGCTATTGGAGTAGAAGAGACGGCTACATTTGAAGGTTTCTACGGTGTAAGGGTGAGAGCGGGATGCCAGCCTGTAGGGCGCTTGAATTCATGGAGTCTGGGGAACCAGAGAGAGCAGCTCATCAGAGCAGTTACCATGGAAGTACTTGTAGAAAAGACAGAGAGAGGCGACGGCGCGTCTGTGAGAGAGTGACTGCAAACAAGACGCTAGATCAGGGCCAATTTGATTACATATCCTTCTCTGGATCTTGTCAAGAACTCCGAGGTAAGCAGAAGGTGCTCCAGCCCATATATGGCAGCAATACTCCATGCAAGGGCGAATGGTTGTTTTGTATATTTGAAGTATCGATTCAGGGGAGAAAAATTTCCTGATATACATATATTTCCTTAAAATATTTATATATACTTATATGTTTGAATACAGATATATGTGTAGTCATGTACTGTTTCCAAGCTGGAACTAATACGTTCTATTGTAGCTGAGATTTTTTTTAAAGTAAATTATATATCGTTTTTAAATGCCAAATTAGATTTTTACTACAGTTTAGTTGATTAGGTCATCAGAAAAAATGGTGAACTTGATATTGGAGGCGTTTTTGTAATCTTTTACGAGTAATATCTGTTTGAATCCGACAAGTCAAAGTTTCTATATATTTCACTCTGAGCCCGAAAACGAATTCCTGGTATAATTAAAATAAATTCGTTATTATTTAATGCAAACAGGAAAAATGAAGAATTTTTGGATACGGAAATTCGGGATTATAATTAAATTCACAATTGAATAAATTCTCTTTCTTTCTTTCTTTATCAAATCATTTTTTTCTTGTTTATCAGAAATAACTTTATTGAATTGTTCAAAATATCGAACTTCTCTGTTTCTCTGTCTAGTTGATCTATTTCAAAACAGATTTCCTGTATCAATTTCTATCGTCAAAACAATAGCGACATCAAATTTGCCAAGACAGACAGATTGACATTATTATGATACATATAATGAATAAGTGTATATAGGTATATATATAATGGTATATATATATATATATATATATATATATATATATATATATATATATATATATATATATATATATATATATATATATATATATAAATGACAAAAAATCATGATAGCGACAATAATATTTAAGAAATAATAATTATATGGTCAAAAATCCCACCATTTATGCACACACACACATAAAATCGTATATATATATATATATATATATATATATATATGCACATATATATTTATATATATGCACACACACACACACATAAAATCATAGGTAAGGTTATATATATATTTATATATATATATATATATATATATATAATGTGTGTGTGTGTGCATAAATGTTGGAAATTTTATGACCATATAATTTTATTTCTTAAATATTATTGTCGCTATCATGATTTTTGTCTTTCTACCTACATACATTTATTATATATATATATATATATATATATATATATATATATATATATATATATATATATATATATATATGTATATATATATAAGCTTACTATTGAATTTTATAGATAGATATATAGATAGACAGATAAATACATAGATAAGGAAAATCATAAATTTATAATATAGTAATTATATTCTCATTGAATGTCCCAGTTTTTTATATATATTATTCTTAATAACTATTTTGAGAGATAGATACTAAAACGACGGGGATATATATATATATATATATATATATATATATATATATATATATAGATAGATAGATAGATAGATAGATAATGAATAGACTGAGATATATCGTCTGTTTATCTCTATCTATCTATCTATCTATCTATCTATCTATCTATCTATCTATCCCTGTATGTTCATTATCTATCAAAATAGATAGATAGATAACCAAAAGACGAAGATAGATAGATAATGAAAAACTGTGATAGTTACATAAATAGATAGATAGCGAACAGATTGATATAAATTGATAATAAATTGATAATGATATATATATATATGTATGATATATATATAGATATATATATATATATATAGATAGAGAGAGAGATAGATAGATAGAGATAGATAGATAGATAGATAGATAGATAGATAGATAGATAGATAGATTACGTACTGGAAAACATCAATCATACAGGAAACGTTATTCTGAAATTTAAATTAGATCTTTAATATTTGTTCTCTATAATATTTGATATCTCTGCATAAAATTCATTCCTGAATTAAATTCATTAACCTGACTATGAAAAGAATAAAAATATTTTTTGTAGAAATTTATTTTTTAACTGTAAGTCGCTGGATCTATTGGTGTTCTTAGGTAAGTGTTTCTATACAGACAGACAAATATTTATCTAACGTGAAGAGATACACTTAAATGAAGTAGAAGGCATGCAAGCACGTCACGGGGGACAAAGGGTCATCTTTCGCACTCAACTAATTAATTTGCACAAATTAGGCATCAACATTTCTGCTAATTGTCATGTGAGAATACAGTCGACTCTGCTTTAACCTTTAATTAAACCTGTTGTCAGATATTGGACTCAGTATAATAGCGCCGATAAGTCTGTGAACTATAATATTAACATAGGTTTCAAGTAAAGGAATTATCAAATATATTAGGATCAGTCAGTCAATTAGAAGCTATTAGATAGATAGATAGATAGATAGATAGATAGATAGATAGATAGATAGATGCACATCATGAGATACATAGATAGATATATAAAAAAGAGAGAGAGAGATGAACATTTTGCGATACATAGATAGATAGATAAAGTGAGAGAGAGATGAACATCTTGACATACATAGATAGATAGAGAGAAGAGAACATCTTGAGATACAGCGATAGATAGATAGAGAGAGAGGGAGGAAGAGAGATGAACATCTTGAGATACATAGACAGATAGAGAGAGATGAACATCTTGAGATACATAGATAGATAGAGAACATCTTGAGATAGATAGATAGATAGATAGATAGATAGATAGATAGATAGATAGATAGATCGATTAAGATGAGATAAATAGATAGATAGAGAGATTAATATCTGGATACATAAATAGATAGAAGAGAGATGAAGAGAGATAGATGACCCTAGATAGATAGATAGAATAGAGATAGATAGATAGATAGATATATAGAATAGAGAGATGATTATCGACCTGGGATAGATAGATAGATAGATAGATAGATAGATAGATAGATAGATAGATAGATAGATAGATAGATAGATAGATCATTATCGACCAGACTGGGATAGATAGATAGATAGATAGATAATAGATCATTATCGACCAGACTGGGATAGATAGATAGATAGATAGATAGATAGATAGATAGATAGATAGATAGATCATTATCGACCAGACTGGGATAGATGATAGATATATAGATAGATAGATAGATAGATAGATAGATAGATAGATCATTATCGACTGGGATAGATAGATAGATAGATAGATAGATAGATAGATAGATAGATAGATCATTATCGACCAGACTGGGATAGATAGATAGATAGATAGATAGATAGATAGATAGATAGATAGATAGATAGATAGATAGATAGAGCAAACTGGGTTTGAATTTTCACCTGTAGTCATCGTTGAAATCAAAGAATAATGCGAACACACGTGTCTTATTTGTTTTTAATCATTTCAGGCATTGTGATTAACAGCTCGCTACATACCCGCGATTCACCCATTTGAAGGAGGATTTTTGTTATGCTTCTCTGCGTTAACCCAGTGAGGAGGTTACATCACAATCAGTTTCGTTTGCCTAATTTCACACACAAGGTTTGGGCTAACGCTCCTAGACTTGCGGCACACTGGGATTGTCTACAGAGGTCGATATTATAAAGATGTTTTATCTTTGACCAATCAATCATAAAGAACCGGAGTCTCATGTCCTGAAGGCTAATACGGTAATCAGTTGACCATGACAAAATAAAAGCAAAAATCGCCTCACATATTTTACGAGAACGGTGAAATTAATACACTAAAACATACATTATTTGCTGTTTCATCTCTTATAGGTATATAAAATAAATATTAAAAGAATATAAAAGAAATATTAAAAGACTACAAAAGAAATATTAAAAGAATATAAAATATAAAATAAAATATTAAAAGAAATGTAAAAAATATAAAAAATAAAAGAATGTAAAAGAAATATTAAAAAATATAAAAGAATTATTTAAAAATGTAAAATACATTAAAAATGTAAAATAAATAATAAAAGAATATAAAAAGAAATATTTAAAGAAAGTAAAAAGAAACTTAAATGAATATAAAAGAAATATTAAAGAATTTCAAAGAAATATTAAAAAAAATCTAAAAAAAATCATAAGAACGTAAAAAATATTCAAAGAATATAAAAGAAATATTTAGGAAATATAAAAGAAATATCAAAAGAATGTAAAAGAAATATTAAAAGAGTATAAACGAAATGTTAAAGAACTATAAAAGAAATATTTTAAAAATGTAAAAGAAATATCAAAAGAATGTAAAAGACTTTTAACGAATATAAAATAGATATTAAAAGAATGTAAAATAAATTTTAAAAGAATATAAAATAAATATTAAATGAATGTAAAATAATTATTAAAATAATATATAAGAAATATTTAAAAAAATGTAAAAAGAAATATCAAGAGAATGTAAAAGAATTATTAAAAGAATATAAAATAAATATTAAAAAATATAATAATATTATTTTAAAAATGTAATAAGAATCTAAAAAGAATATAAAAGAAATATAAAAATAATGTAAATGAAATATTAAGAGAATATAAAATGAATATTAAAAGGACTCCAACGGTTTATTAGACAACACTATATACATTATTCGGACCATTGTCCTACCATATTTATTACAATGTTTCGGTTGTTGTACGCTCCGGCCTTCTTTGGGTGTTTGGAATAATGTAAATAGTGTACATAATACCTTATCTCAGAAATATGGACGTATATTTGACGAATAATTCTGTGGGCATCGAAGATATCTCGTATAACAGCTATTTTTTGGCTTATCCCAATTTTCAGTCCCAGATTAAGTCACATGTTTGAAACTTTAACCCATAGATATCCTCATATTTTCCCGTGGAGATAAGCAGGTATCATGAATCGAGGATTTAAAATGTGCAAACGACACAGGCATCATTCATTCATGACTCAAATGAAATGACTGACTAATCTAGGATTCACGAAGAAAAAAAATCTTTTTACTCCAAGGAAGGGGATAATATCACTAGAAGGGTTACAGGGAATGAAAAAAAAGATGCGAAGACATTATTGGGAAGAACTGAAGAAAGGACAAAGAAGGAACGGGATTCAAGAAGACAGAAAATGACAATTGACGTTGCATTTAAATTTTAAAGATTGTAGTTATTAGGGAAGCAAGAAGTCGGAAGGGAGTTCCAGATGTGTGAAGTGCGAGAAAAGGTACTGTTAGATTAGAAATACCGGTTGGATCTATCTAGTTCTACAGTAAAACTGTGAGACCTAATTGCCAATCAAACAGGACGCTTAAATTAATGCAATCAAGGCACCAGGAAAATATTTTCGTCAAAATATTTTCCATGACATTATTTGTAGTAAAGACAAAGGGGATACACGTAATGTTGGTGCGAAATGACTGAAATGGAGATCTCATACCAGGACCGATTACATTAAAGACCGTTCTTTGACTTTTTCCTTTGAAAAAGGAGCAATGAAAATAATCAATGGATTTGCACAGAAATAGTTGGTTTAGCCACGTGAACAGGTCGGATTGTATTTTTTTTTTAATGATCAACATTCATTACACCAGGTGAATTCAAAGCGGTTTACAAGATGAATTTGTAGAATTTTTAATAGCCAAAGATATCAGTTTATTTTTTTGTGTCAGTATTTATATATGTGATATTGAGAACTATCCGATAAATATAGCACAACTTAAGACAATATTGCTTCATATATATATATATATATATATATATATATATATGAAGAAAATATACGAAAAAAACAAACAAAAATCCTTATATACAATTATGCTGTTTTAATGTTTATATGTCAACGTCGGACGTTTCGGTCTAATAAACCATCTTCAGGACATATTCATAAAATATAATTAACATTATCAATTCAACATGACAAAGATGATGTACATAAGAACATGTTGAATTAATAATGTTAATTATATTTTTTGAATATGTCCTGAAGATGGTTTATTAGACCGAAACGTCCGACGTTGACATATTAAGATTAAACTAGAATAATTGTATATAAGGATTTTTTGTTTGTTTTTTTCCGTATATTTTCTTCATACTGTCGGATCTATATCCATATATTTGCTTGCATATATATATATATATATATATATATATATATATATATATATATATATATATATATATATATGAATAAAAACTCTACTGAGTCGAAACGTTTCGACATCTGAGAGACATTATTAAGCCAATGTGATAAAGTCACAGTGAGGCCGAAACACGTCGGTTAAATATAGTTTTTCCTCTTGTGTTTTTTTCTATTTATTTTGTCTCTTCAACATGTACACTCCATCTTAGAATATTTATATATACTTACATGATTAAATACAGATATATATGTAGTTATATACTGTTTCCATGCTGGAACTAATACATCCTATTGTAGCTGAGATATTTTTTAAATAAATTATAAATTGTATTTAAATGCGAAATTATGTTTTTTGTTTTCATTTTCCATGAAAATGTTTGTAGTAAAGAGAGACAGAAAACACGGAATGATGGTGAGAAAGGGACGGAATTGCAAGGATCAGTTAAATTACAGACCGTTTGTTGAATTTTGTCAATATTCTCGAGACACTAGGATTCCTGAAAGGATGTGATTTGCCTGAAATGTTTGCCTGCTAACTAAGCTGGTACAACAAGCTATGATAGATATTTATTATAGTATATAGTACAATAATTTTGGCATAAGAATAAGCTATGGTATGCTTGCATACATTTTCCTCTAACAGAAAAGAGGGGACGGATGTTCTAAAGTTGCTCCGTGGGTGGGGATAGATTGCTTTTGTTTATGTTTTCCTATAAGACCAAACAAAAGTCACATAAACGGTGGCAAATGTTAAAACGATCCAGATATCATGACTCCCCCAGATACCGCAGGGGGGGTCATGATTGCACGTGCGTTCTCTCTCTGCCTTTAAACTGCTGCCTATGTGGGTTTAGTGAATGGGGGCATGTGGCAATCGTGCTTCAACATTTTGTTCTTTCATCTCCCGACCTACTTTAGCAGGAAATGTATTAACGTCTTATTATTGAAGCACCCACACAAATGCCCCCCCCCACCAAGCACATATTTATTTCACTCTTATCTAAGGATGGGTAATCGCCCAGTCAAGACAACAAATTGTTATCATTTTTTTATCGCTACACAGTAGCTTTCGTGTTTCGTCACTACTTTATACCGCTTCAGAAAAATGGTTAGTCTAATTTAGTTCTAATATCTAAAATAATAATAATAATATATTGTTCTACTTTGTATTGATCACTGTTTAAAAAAAAGTAAATGCTACCAACAGAGGAATTCTACGTATCTTTTCTGTCTCTCATATATATATATATATATATATATATATACATTTACACATATACACACACACACATATGTATATGTGCGCGTGTGTATATGTGTAAAATATATATATATAAAATATATATATATATATATATATATATATATTTGCAATTTTTATATAGAATATTTATATATTATATATGCACGGTACTTATTGGAAAGCGCACAAGATCGGTGATTGAGCTAACATATTTAGTCGGATTGATGTGAGTCTGTGACACTGGGTTTCCCGCTATTTGCGATCGTCTGACGATTGCAAAAATAAGGCCATCCCATAAGTTCTGTCCGAATTTTGAATAAAGAAAACAAGTGACCAAATGTTACATTTAATTACAGATTTAATCAACAATGTATTTTCCCTGATTATCTATGACTTTCTTCCATCTATTAACAAGCTTACTAATTCCATTACTGTAAAATTCTTTTGGCTTTGATTCAAAGAACTCACAAATGTCAGTTTTAACCTCATCCTGTGTTACAAAAGCTGTTTCTTCCAAATAATTGTGTAAGCTTCGAAACGAATGGTAGTCTGAAGGAGCAAGATCGGGAGAATAAGGTGGATGAGCAATTTTCTCCCAACCAAGTTCGATTTTTGTAACGTGATTCTTGCTGTGTGGAGTCGCGCATTTTCCTGATGAAACATCAACCCTTTCCGATTCACTAGAGCAAATCTTTTTTCCCTCAAAGCTTGGTTCAAACGCTCTAATTGCTGACAGTATATTTGAGCATTAATACGTATTGCATTAGGTGGTAAGAATTCAAAGTGGATTGTTCCTTGGCGATCCCACCAGATTGAAAGAAGAACATTTTGCCCATGAAGTTCCCTTCTCAGCTGTGGCTGGGTTCCTTCTCCTTTACCAAGCCACTGTCTACGACGCTTAACATTTAAAAAAATATCCATTTTTTCGTCGCCAGTCAAAAGTCTCTCCAAAAAAGCTGAAACAAGTTGGCGAGAACGGAGAGAAAAGTAGATGTCAACTCGG